TATAAATATTTCATTAAACTGCCACAAAAGATAGATTCAATATTTTTAAATGAGTATTCATATGATTAGTTTCGCACGACGTGATAAAGTTAAAAATGATATAAACAATTCTTATAATTGTATTTCAAAAGACTCGAGAAATTTTCTTGTTCCGAATTATTTTCTAGAGAGGAAATAGCTTCATCTCTATTGTGTTCCCAGAAAATGGAGGGTTTACAGCCTTTTCTATTTTTATTGTGCCTGACGATAAATGGATTTGAAAAAAGGCTAGTCTTCTGCGAGGTACACCAGTCTGCACTCGGAAAATTATTTTGCGGAAAGTGTCCCCTCGTCGAGGGTAGCTTGGTTTCGCGTGAAATCTCCCGTGAACGGGTTGAAAGGAAGTATTCGTAGGATGACCAAGCCTTGGCTCGTCGTTAAACAATGGCATTCCGAACGATTTGCCCGTAAACGTCGCGTGGGCCAATTTGCCGGGCAATTTCTGAGGAAAATCGTTCGGTCACTATCACGAGCACCGGAGGACCAAGATTCGTATGTGGCCATATTGTACGTTTGATCCCCCGATATCCCTACAGGAATTCAACTTTTTTTTCTGGTTCGTCGAGTGCAACAAGAAATTACAAACCGTTAAATCCATAAAGTGATACGCTTATTTCTTTCTATTTTTCAAGTATGAATTTTTGCCTCGTTTTAATTATTGCCAATCTTTTATTGTAATACTTGAAACTGTATTCTACGATTTTTAAACAGTTTAACTCTACTTAACTAAATATTCGTGTAGATAGTCTACCGAGCTTTGCCACTTTTGTGAATTCGAATTCAGATGCATACTTTTAACGTATTCCAAGACTGCGAAAGTTACTTTTGAACGTTTTTCTACTGTAATTAAATACTAATAATGTATATCTTAAGATGCGCTAGTTTGTTTGCGATGAATACAAAGAATATAAAAATATATATGTTTTTAATTTGTACAGTATGAGTTGAATGTTTAGTTACAGATTAAACACTGATTTAAGGTTAGTTATGTAGGGTTAATATATTATTTTCTAAACAGTTTTGTTAACTAAACAGTATACTTAACTTCACAACAAATAAAATAAATTCACATCGCTAATGCAAAAATAGAAATATAACTAAAAACAATAACCATCATATTACCATTTGAGTGTTTTATATAAAAGAACGATGTACCCTACAAAAATCGTCACTGTTTCCTAAAAATCGGTAAACACCGGAACTTCTTTAGCATCCAAACAAGTAACTGCTCCTCGAGAGTTCATTAATCAACCCCCTCGCACCCGTTCGCTTTCAAACCGCGTTCACACCGCCGCATTTATCACCGTTCATTAATTTTCAATTCACGGTTATTCACTATACGTGTTCCACTTTTTTCTTTCAGCCGAGGAATTTAGTTCTATAAATCATGATCGATGCGTCCCTCCATCGAGGGGATGTCCTCCCGCGGAAGATCGTGAAAATCTAAAGAAATAATCCTAACGGATGGCCACCCGCGACGTTTGCATATGAAAAGCACGGCGGCCGTGAATCGATACACCTTTATTATTCCCGGGCACTTGCTTATCTCTCGCGGTCCCCTTCTTTCGCTCCCGGGGAAGGAACTCGACAATATTTTCGACTTCCGGGCGAGGAAGGAGCAGCAAGGAAGAAGTTCGAGGTCGAAGGGCGCCGCAGGGGCCGAGGCGTGAAACAATATGCCGAATTTTCACGGTTTGCCACTCGATGACCCTCCATTTGTTGCGTGACTAGTCCCTTCACAAGCTTTCCAAGTTTCTGCATGGACCAGCCAAAACTCGAATATACCACTCAAGAAGGATCGAATCGATTGCTTTAAATTACGTTTTTTGTTTCTGGAATTTCCTGCTCATTCCGGGCCTTCAGTTTCTTCAGCCCTTTGTCTTCGAAGCCTTTTGTCTTCCTAATTTTTAGTAGGCTCGATGATCTTGTAGCGAATCAGAAAATTTTTAAAGCGTTTCCTTTGGGTTTTGGAAATTAGCTTCGTTATAAGGAATTGTATCGCCTGTGTTCATTCCGTTTAGACAAACGTTTAGAATGTTTTTAAAAATTCATGTGAACGTCGCTTAGCTATTAAAATAATCGACAGAGTAATTTTTCGGTTCTTTATGTAATTAGACACAGAATGTTAGGAGTTAGCATATAAAAATCCACGAAAGTATCCCATGAATGTTATCAAGTCAATTAACGACAACGAACCCTTCAATGAACACAATCAGCACCATTCAAAGCCAGTTTGCAAGCGAACAGCATCGTTTCCTCGCGCAGCAAATTCATCCGAATGGAATCACGGCATTTTCCTGTCTCATACCGCGCGCGTTTCTTACCGCGACGCGTAAAACGCAACAGCGTAATCGTGGTGAAAGGTCAGCGAGGCGGTTAAGTAAAAAATCCGTCGCCCACCGGCAGCCTCGTTATTCTACTTAGCACCTTGTTACAACCGGCGATATGTGTTCCATTGTGTATTGTCGCGTGGTGTCCAATCACTTATAAGCCTGACGTCTCCGACTCGATTCTAATTTAATTTAGGATTCATTGTTTACGCGTCCCATTGTCGCTGGCATCCGAGGGAACGTGATTCATTTATCGGGCATCGTTGAATTTCCCAGGTGTCCTCCGACAGGAAGAATCTCGCGAAATAATCCTTTAACCCCTTGCCCTACGATTTACTTCTAAGCTGTGATCGATGCAACTACTTTGCCACTAACACGTTGACTGCTACGAAAAACATCAGCGTTTTACGTATCACTTATTCCTTTGTAGCAAAGATAAAAAATTATTAATTATTTGCTATAACAATTCTATTGTTACACTGTTACCTAGTTATTTACACTATTGAACATTTTTATCCAATGTCAATTGTCTTACGAATTATAATCGTTTTCAAGTCAATTCGAAGCGCGGATCTCATGGGATCCTTGTGGCAGCGAAAGTGGTCATAATTTATTGAAAATAGACAGAGAAGTTTCAGGCGTGTTGTATGTCGCTGCTAAGTATAATTATTGGTAACAGAAGAATAAAATTTTATTTGAATTCCATAGAATTGAGTAATATTTATCCTTGTTAGTTTATCTTCAAAATTTTCGCCACGAATCTGTCACATTGTTGTAAAGCGAGGGGTTAAATCTGGCAAACGATCGACTTCCACAGCGATCAGATTTTTCCGTTCGTTAGGGCGAACGATCTCGTTCGGAGGGAAGTCCGAGAAACTCGCGTAAAACCCTGATTCAGCAGAAGCTCGGCTTTAAGACGTTCGCCCGAGCACTTTCCTCGCAACAAAGATCCTCCACCCCCTATCTCGAATCGGCCATTTAATTAGGAGTGCTTTATTTTTCCGACGCCCTTTGTTTCCGGTCAATCTTTCTTCCCCGTTTGTTAAATCACTCCGGAGACGGCATAATATGGAGAAAACGGGCCTCGAACTTTTTAATCTTCGACCGGGCCGACCCCTCTTCCCCCGCCGGCCGCTGGACGCGCGTCCGATTCAACCGGAAACTTTTAAACAACGTCTAGACTCTGATGTTGTAATCGCCGAAGGAGAATTTCATCGATTCACGGTGCCTTCTTTTGTGATTTTTAGCGCCGCTTTACTGGAACCGTAAATTTAACTTTTAAGGAAGACTCGGCGTTCGCCTTTTTTACGTGACTCGGTGGATTGATCGTTTTTCTGGATAGATTGGGTTTCTTTGTTCAAGCCTTCGATCTTTAATTCAGTAAAATAGAAGAATTCTAATAGATACTCATTTGGTTAGTAACACATTCTTCAATATTTCTTATAATATAAATGTTGAAACTTTAAGAGAACAAAATGTAAATCACAATCCAATCAGTTTTCTGTAGTTTCACGCTTCTATCTAATATCCTAACGAATTTCTAAATTAACCGTCACCCTATAACTTATTTCACGATAACATTCGCGAGTTTTCACAGTGCTGCTAATTCAAGGGGTCAAATTACTCGCGGCAATAAAAAATCAAAGTGAGAGACGCGAGACCTATAAATTATTCAAACCGTTTAAAATTATTCAGCCACTTCCTTCCGCAAAGTGCGAATGGCGCGGTTACTTGTCCATGACCGCTTTCACCGAAAAAGGGAGAGCTCTCGAGAACCTACACCAAGCCCGGAGTACGTCTTCGAACTCGTTCCTCGCCGAAACGTAAATTTAAGTCACGATCACCCCCAAACGTCCGGAACTGGCGGGGAGCCGGCGAATATGTTTCCCGAGGTTACGTTCAGCGGCGTCTCCAAGCCGCGAAATAAGGGTCGCTCCTCGAACACATGGCGAGGCCATCTCGTCCTCTGTTCTGCACTTTTCCTTCACCCTCCCCTTGTCCGTCGGCCGCGGAGGGTGTCCTCGAATTAATAAAATCCCACGGACACCCCAGGCCGCGCGTCGCCTCTAGCGCGCGGAGCGTGAAAAATGGCCGAAAATCTGATATTCCGGATTAAAAACATTGAAATTCAAAACCCGTCCCTCCGCCCCTGCTAGGGAGGCGGGCGGCGAGAGGGTCGAGAAGTCGTTAAGGGTCAGTTTCAGGCCGCGTTTGCGGCAACCGATCCCCCATCGGGCTCCATCTTCCGCCCACCCCCTGTAAGCATCAACGATCCGGAGATCTTTCCCGGGGATATTATTTTTAAGCCCCCGCGACGGCGGCCGCAATTTGACACAGGCGCGCCGTTTGAATTCGGAATTCAATCGGCGACTGCCGATTCCGATCCCGGCGCCGCGAAATTAAGGGTGGCGCGGAAATTGATAGCGGGGAGGGACGGACCGTGGCTACGTGTCTATGCGTTTGCTGGCAATGTGTCGCGTCCCTGCTGGTCTCTATGCTCTCGGCCGGGTTCAATCATACATCATCCGCGTCGATAATCTTCTCTTCCCCGACCGTTTCCACGACTTATCGCCCCGGTGACCGTGTCGAATCGAAATCGATGGCTAATGTTCGCCGCTTCGTTTGTTACAGAACCGAGATGGCTGCAGTGTTCCCAGTGCTCCAGAAGACTGTCGTCGGCGTGGGAGCTGCTGCAGCACGTGCAGAGCGTCCACGGCGCCAGGCTGTACACGTCCCCGTCCTCGTCCACGAACTCCTCGTCGAACACGCCGGCACCGAGCCCGCCGACGCCCACGCCGACCCACGCCCACCACCTGAGCCCGCCGAACCACCTGAACCTCAGCGCTAAGTCGACGGGTAGCTCGTCCGCAGCGAACTCTTCTGGCGGCACGAACTCCAGCGGTAGCAGTGGCGGCCGGCAGCAGCTCCAGTCCTCCGCGTCTCTAGTCGGCGATCCTCTTCACAGCTTCCTCAGGCTGCCGCAACACCTGGAGCGTAGCTTCCCGCCAATGTTCAGGCCAGATTTTCTGGCACTGAACCCTCTGGCTGGATACAGAGGCCTACAAGAGCTTCAAACTGCGACCAGGAACCTTCAGAACCTGGGCGATCCTCTAAGAGGAATGGACGGCTTGAATCTCGGGGATCCTTTAGTTCGTAGCTCTCTGGACTCGCTGAACAATGCCCGCAACCTAGCCAACCTGGCCGAGCTGTCGCACGGTCGAGGTTTAGCCGGCCAGGCGCATCCTCCTCCGCTTGAGGCCAACCTGGATTTTTACTCGGCGCGCCTAAGGAGCCTCGCTAATCCGTCCTTAGGCGCGGCTCCACCAAGTAGCGGGAATACTAATACGAATCCCAATCCCCCTGCCCCGGTACCGGCGGTACCAGTGCCAAGTACCGTCCAGCAGCAGCAACAGCAGCAACAACAGCAACAACAGCAACAGCAACAACAGCAGCAACAGCAGACGACGCAGAACCATAGCCAATCTGTGGAGTCACCTAGCCCGGCGACCAACAATACTACTATCATAGCGCACGCTAATCATCAGAAGGAAAATTCGCCGCCCTGCTACAACCAGAGCCCGATTGGTCATCATAATAATAACAACTCGACCGATAGTGAGAAAACTAGCCCACCGGTTGCCTCCACGCCGATCATCGCTGACTCCGCGTCGGAGACGATTTACACGTGCGAGATGTGCGACAAGAAGTTCCGGTTCCAGACGAATCTGAACGTTCATCGACGAAGTCACCGGGACAAGGAGAGACAGTACCATCAAGACACCCCGAAGGATGGTCAAACGACGCCTACCAGATGTGAAGTCTGCGAAGTGGAGGTAGCTAATTTCGCGGAGCTCAGGAAGCACATGAGGAAGGAGCATCAGGAGAATCTAAACGCTGCCAGTCCTCAAGGCAGTGTGGAGACTGCTCCTGATGATGGCTCCAGCTGTGATGAGAATATGGACTTAGACGAGGCCGAGGAGATCGAGCCAAAGGTTAAGAGAGAGGACGCGGAGGAAAACACTCCGGAGGATTTGAGCACCACGCAAGGCCAGAACGGAGAGGAGAGCGGCGGCAGGGTCGACCAGAAACCAGTCAGCCTGGTGGGTGACTTGATGGAAAAGTTCGGATTGAGCAACATCGCGCAATACTCGGAAGCGTACCGACAGGCGTTGCAGGAGAACCATCGCGGCGTGTTCATCAAGACCGAGTCTCCGTCGAACCTGACCAACTCGCTGAACAATAACAAGGAGAAAGACAGCGCGCTCTCGCCCACGAACTTCAATTCCTCAACCACGCCCAACATATTCTCGGGTCAGGGTTTTCCCAGGTCTTCGGGCCCCGACTTTGGTGGCCTTTGGCTGCCGAGTCCTCATTACCTGGAGAACAACGAGTTCCGCAAAGCGACCAAGGCTACCACTTCCAGCCTGGCTCTGCCGGGCCTACCCAGCCCGTTGCTGAAGAAGGAACGCAGCGGTAGGAACGACACCTGCGAGTACTGCGGCAAGGTGTTCAAGAATTGCTCCAACCTGACGGTACACAGGAGGTCGCACACCGGCGAGAAACCTTACAAGTGCGAGTTGTGCTCGTACGCGTGCGCGCAGAGCTCGAAGCTGACGAGGCACATGAAGACGCACGGCCGCCACGGCAAGGACACGTACAAGTGCCGGTTCTGCGAGATGCCGTTCTCCGTGCCCAGCACGCTGGAGAAGCACATGAGGAAGTGCGTGGTGGTCGTGCAACAGGGCCCGAAGCTCGGCATGCCGTATCCCGGTAGCCAGGACGAGGACTCCTCCTTGAGCACTAAGGATACTTGATCTTGGAACGGAAGCCTACCGCCGATCCCGCCACTGTGGCCCCACAGGCCGCCCTACCCGGTGTACTGAACAGGGGATCTTCTTCCTCGGGAGAGCGTGAAGAGCAGAACCAGAGAAAAGAAGATGGAACAATGTTCGTGTCCGATGAAAGTCGAACTCAAACGAATGAGAGGATGATCAGGAAGCATGCACTGCGGAGAATCTCCCTGGATAGAGTCCACGGTCGCCTCTCAGGTTTAGGAGAGGTGGTAGGTCGGCGAGCAAACAGCCGATCGGGGGACCTGGAAACGGTCCCAGCGAGGAGTAGAGATGAGACCCTTAAGGAGATTCCGAGAAGGGTCGTTCTAATCACGTGAACCGTATGAGTACGGTTGAAGGGTGGGGAAGGATGACGATCCAACCCCGAGTTCATAAATTCAACTAGAAGAGAAAACGAATGGTTACCACTTTGCGAGTCTCAGCACAGTTATTTAAAGTATATCCTTATAAATAGTTATAAATAAAGACACTATAAATATGCATATATATATATATAAAAAATAAAAATATATATATATATAAATATATAAATATGAGATCTAAAATGGAAATTATACAGAATATAAATATTATACATAGGATAATGAACATAGTGACTTTATTATCGCATTTGAAGATTATTTATTTAATGATAAATATATTATTGCATACCGTACGACGTGATTTAGCTGTGCGAACACGCGCGCGACGTATGTCGCTGTGTACGCACAGATGAATTACGTTGTACGGTATGAAGACCTGCAACCACTCTGTATGTATTAGAGACAAATGGGGAGAAAAAGACACGAAGTGGGTAAAGGAAAAAACGAACTTTTTGTACATTATTACACCGACACGAGACGTCGCTGCGCGTCGATTGACGTCGACACGACACTCTTTCTTCGTCTTTCTTTTCTCCTGTTTTTCTTTCCTTTCTCGTTTCCTTCTTTATACGAATAAAGAAAACACGTTCCCCTCTCGCGGTCGGGAGGAGAACAATCGGCGACTCCGACGATCCTGTGTGTATATATTATACATTCGACACATCGACACCACTGGCGCTTCAGTTATCGACGGATTAGGATACCGGGAGTGCTCGGGTGGTTCGTTTAAACGTGTAAAGGGATAAAAATGCTGCGTTTTAGATATTAAGACTCTAGCTCGATCCTATGTAAAATGTATCATAGTACATTTATTGACTTCATTGTCCACTATTAATTATTACTACCATTTCTATTATTGCCTATTAATATTATTCATTATTATTATTATTATTATTGTCATTATTACTATTATTATTGACTATTATTATTACCATCATTATTATTATTATTATTGCTATTATTCATTGCCACTATTATTAACGCGGTTCGCAGCGACTGCGAACGCCGTCTTCATTATTTTATCCCGATATTAAATTATTATCGAAAGCTGTTTTAAATGGTTAAGAAGATGCCAAAGTTGTTTAGGTTTATCGTCGCGCGGCCGGTGTCCGTCGATCCCGTGATTTTCGGTCGCCTCGCGCCGGTGCCGTTACCAGTGTAACGTTAAACGAAACAATTCAAATCGAGGAAGTAAAATCGAATAAATTCGTGATGTTCCAGCGAAGCGGGTTATAAACGAACAAAAAGAAAAAAACACGGTTTCACATTTCGGTGGGAACGAAATTGATCGATTCGCGGTGGCGCGAAAATCATCGTCGACGGTCACCGTCGCGGATCAAAGCCGACGCCTATCGTTATAAGCGCGTTTGTTCGTTGGTTATATTTATTGCCCGTGATGTGGCCGCGGCACGGCTTTCGCCGGATCGAGGCGAGCCCGTTGATCCAGCGAAAATCGTCGAGTCCTGCCACGAGGCGCACACACCGCCTGACGGTTGGTTGACGATTATTATTAATTATTACTATTATTTTTTTTTCTGTTCTTTCTTTTTGCCCAAGACTGAGGTAAGAACGGCGGGCCGCGAGCTGATCGTCGTCCCAACGGATATCGATCACATTATGTTTTTATTTCACACCTTTCTTTGCGTTCCATTAACGTGTAGTTTCCGTTCATTATTATGATTATTAATATTATTATTATTACTATTATTATTATTATGAATATTATTAATATTATCATTTTTCTTTTCTTCTACCTTCTACTTTCCTTCCGTTCGTCCTGAAACGCCTCGTTGTAAACGTTTTCGAAGGGGACTGTTCCTAAAAAAAAAATGATCTAGGCAATAAGGTAATTACTTTACGGAGACCGAACGACGAATAAGGGAAATTAAAGAAAGATCAC